TCAACAAAGTATTGCTGAAAAAAACAAGTGAGAAGAAAAACAATCTAATGTCAAATATTAATATTTTTTACTTTCCTTCATTGTATATTATCCCAACTTCAGTTTTCTTCCATTAACAGGAAATCATCAGTAGTTTTCAATAGTTTAATTATATTTTAGGAGATAAACAAAAATTTAAAATCTCTGCTCAAAAACCATGAGCCAAAAACCATCTAACTGCCTAAGTATAGCCATTCTCAACTGCCCTCTATTTCCTTCTTAAGCACCACTTAAATGTTCCCTTATTGCCAATCCCATATATGTGTCTTAAATAAGTAATAAGATAATTAGCCCTGAAGTATACATACTCAACAGGCCAACTATTAAAATAATACAAGATCTTTGGAAAATATATTGCATTATAAAAAGAAATCATGAAAACTCAGTAGAAAGTGAAATTAGCTGGTTGCAGGACAAGACAAAATCAGACAAGTTTGTATTGTGGTCTCCATAATTACAGCATGGAAATTTCTTGACAGAGCAGGGATTGTCATGGAGATCAGGAGATCAGGGATCTAGCTTAAATGTAAAAACTAAGTAGCTATGTGAGCCTGGACATGTGATGGTCTCCAATATGAGTTCTTTGTTTTGTTTTGTTTTGTTTTGTTGTGTTTTGTTTTCTTGCACACTGTAGACACTGAATAAATATATGACCCAACTTTCCTCATCTGTAAAAATTATCAGCGCAAGAGTTTCTTTTAGGACTAGCACGCAGTGATTCTAGGATTTTAGGTTTCACTAGCATAGAATCAGAGACCAATTACAAAAGGGGGAGGATATGAAGAAACTTCTGCTTTCTTAAATTTATAATCAACCATCTCACTAGATCCATCCCAGAATCAAAAGGAAGACTTCCCATTTTCTCTAATGTTTAAATATCTAGAATGTGTTCTTTCACACTGAAAATTAGGATTTTTTTTTTATTTTAAGAAATCATATCTTGGATTCATATCTTTACTTGAAGTGAATCCTTGTGTGAGAACCAGGGTTGGAAACCCTGACACCGTCTGGCTATAAACAGGATAGGCTGGGCTAGATTGCGTCCTTAACCTCAGTTCTCTCACACCCAAGACACATGTCTAGGCCAGTATCACTAAAGCAATCCAAATTGAGAGCTTTGAGTAGTCCAGTTAACTCAGCTGAACAAGACTGACTAGGAATAGTCACAACTAGAACCATTTAGACCTGACCATTCAATAATTATCTCTTGTTCTCCTCCTCAATACTATTGCTAGGCATTGAGGATTCAGAGAACATGACATAACCCTCCACTCAGAGTTTGTAGTTTAGCAATTCATATATGACAGGATACACATAGTACATATGAGTAACCTAACAGTCTTCAGACACAAAAGGAGGCAACAACTAAGATCATACTTGGAGGAAAACTGGAGTAGGATAAAGTGATAAGACCTTAGGGACAGGTGACCCCTCTGGTAGAATAGGAACTGCAATGTTGGCCAGTGTTTATCTCCCTAGGTCTGGTCTTCACCCACCTACAGAGTCCCACCTAGGAGAGCTGCTAAATATGCAGATTTCAAGGATCCAACCCAGTCTGACAATCTGAGTTTCTTGGGAGTGTAACCTGAGTTCTGAATTATAAAAATTAATCAAGGGATTTTGATAAAAGTTGAGGTTTGAGAACCCCTGCTATAGCTATCAGCCCCTTCCTGTGTATGGCTGCTAATATCCAGGAGCTAAAGATGGCCACAGTATGCACAGAAAGATCCACAGTATGCACAGCAACAGAGAATCTTAATGGGTTCCTAGTCACAAGATTGGAGTGTTGATAAGATTTGAGTTATGCAGAAAAAGGGGCTATGGTTCTGGACAAATGACTAACCTAGGATTCCACCACAGAAGAAAGTGTCAGCATTCATGGACTAGAGCTAGAAAACAGAGCAAGACAAAGTCACAAGAATGAGAAAAACATTTTAAATGATAACTAGATCTTAAGGTCGAAGATAAACTGGCAGCAAACGTGACCTTATGCTGAATTCCAGAATGTTGGGCCAGGTCTGTGTCTAGGAGTCAGTTGGACTCTGATGATAAAAGAAGACAGTTTCTGAGGCTGATAAATCAAACAGGACCATATATCCTGGGAGTAGATAATATGATGTGGTGTGTTAGCTTATGTTATAACTTAGTATTCTAATAAAGTCATTAAAACCCTTTTCCTTTTGCCCTATTATCATTCTCAGTGCTTGTATCATTCTGAATATTTCAACAGTCATCTCCTTTATAGTTAGGTAGAATCTGTTCGTATTCATAACCAGACCTAAATCTCAAATTGAGGTGTCCTCTAACAAAATTAGAGAGCTACTTCTTTGCTACTTCAGATCAACACAAATTTGTGATTGTAATTTGAAATCACTGATCAATGCTGGCCTTTCAAGTGCAAAACAATAAAAATCCTTTAATCAAAGTACTTTTCTGACTTACCCTGCATTTAGAAGAAAATTAATTTCACAACTCCTAAATGACTATCAGTTTGTGCAAGTCATAAGATCAGCTGAAGGAGCTATGAGCAATATCAAGCAAAAAACCCCAGTGTCCTCATATTGATGAGTCCAACCCTGGTGTTCATGTTCTTGTCATACTAGCCTGGTTGACATTCAACCACTTCCAACACTCATGGCAGTTCTAATCAAAATGTGCACAACACTCTCTTCAGCTAGCTTTTTTATAAGAAAACAAAGTGCAATACATTGTACAGGCTCTGGATTCAGAAAGATGTGATTTAATATTACTTTGCATCGATTAACTTGTGTGAACTTGGGCAACTTATTTATCTCCAAGATGCTTATCTGTAAAATGGGGGTGTTAATATTACCTAGCTTTCTAGTTCATTGAACTGTTCTGGAAATTGAGTTAATGGTATGTAAAACATTTAGAAGAGCAATGGTGAGTTGTTATTCTTGTTGCTATTGTTGTGCAGGTCACCTCAGCCCACAGGTACTGTGAAGTCAAGGCCACAAAAATTGCCTTTGTCTTACTTGGATATGTCTCCCTTAATAATGCAAAGTGCCTCACATGTACCCTCTTGGAATTCCCAAGAGAATGTTGCCTGTATTCATGATCAAGTTAAGTCTACTATATGTTCTTTCTCTCCTGTATGGTGCCCTGAGTTATAACCAAAGTCCGTGGCTAAGGAGACTATTGGTAAGAATGCTCTTGTCTGAACCTACGATGTTGCCATCTGATGTTCCCAAAGCCCCAGTGCACTAAAGTCCCAATGCTGTCACAGTCCATCACCGGGAACAGGGTGACTGAGTACCAGCCACTCACAGTTTCTGTGAGAATAATTTCTTTCAGCTACTTTGTGGATCCTTACCCTCTATATAGTTCAACCTGGGTCCATGCACTAAGCCAAGGTAACTATTTCTGAAAGAAACGGTAGGCTATCCTTCATTCCCACTCCCCCCTTCCAAGCTCCTTTCACCAAATCAACCTGGCAATAAACCTTTCTAACAGTGATTAATAGAAGACAGTATAGTTCAGTGATTATAAGCAAGAGATCTGAGTTCGATTACTTGGATTTAATGGGGAAACAATAGTAGCTCTGTGCCTCAGTCTTTTTTTTTTTTTTTGCTTTATTTTTCAGCAATAAAATTGATATAATAATAGAACCTAGTTCACACAGAAATTTTGAGAGCCTAAGTGAGAAGTTTAGAAACACTTAGCATGGGCCCAGCACATAGAATTGGCTCACTAAATGGTGGTAATGGACATTACCTTTCACTCTGTTTCTGGTAGCCACATGTTATGTGCATTGCATGTTGTGTGCGCCCAAAGTTAACACGTTGAAATCTAACCCCCAACGTGATGATAGTTAGAGGTGGGCCCTTTAGGAGATAATTAGGTCACCAGGGTGTAGCCCTCATGAATGGAATTAGTTCCCAGAGAGCTAGCTAGCTCACCCACTTTCCACTACATATGGACACAAGTTGGCAAACCTGGAAGAAGGCTATTGCTAGAAACCAACCATGCTGACACTCCAATCTCAAACTTCCCAGGCTCCATAACTGTGATAAATAAATGTGTGTTTTTAAGCCACCCAGTTTGTGGTAATTTGTTATAGAAGCCCAAATTGGCTGAGACACTACTACTTAAGTTTAAAACAAAACTAAGACTTCTTCCACAACCTAACAGAATCACAAATGTGTCTATCCCTACAGTTTTGGTTTTCCTTGTAATGGTTACTATAATCTCAATAGCTATTGGGATAAAAATTGCTAAATTATGAGAAAATGATATGGAACTTTGTTTTACAAAACCACCAATCAATTATATCCTATGTGAGATTAAAGGGTTGGGTTTACAAAGATACATTCTTCATTTTATATAAACTTGGCACCCAAGCAAATTAGTTGAAGACTATGACACATTGATTTAATTATAGTTTTATAATCATTGTTCCCCAGAATTACTCCCTTATTGAAAAAGTGAACCATGAAATGTGTTCACATAAATATATATTAAAACAGCTCAATCCATAGTAATAACATGTGTATATCACCTAATAATATAAAATGTTATTTAACTTTTGTAATTTAATCTTCATGATAACAATATAAGGAAACTATACTAGATATTGTTTCTATGTTATGGATAAGAAAACTCAAGCTCAGAGAGGGTAAGTATAAATTGTGCAAGTCACACAGCAGATAATGGTGAAACCAGAACTTCAATCTAAGCCTTTCTAAATTCTATATCAATGCATGCTTACTCTGATAGTACTGGTTAAAATTAAGTGTGTGCTTTGATTAATTTTGCTGTATATACATTTTGGTTTGCCAGTTCATACCTTTCAATACTTCCCAATTCATTTACTGAATATGTGTCACAATATATGGTGCCAAGTATCACTGGCATTCCTTGTCCTCCTCTGACCTCTTTTGAGTTTTCCTTCGGGGAGAGATTATGGGCACAGAAAATCAAGAAAGCAATTTGGGAAAGAGTCAGAAAGCATGAGTCACCATCACTGGGCTCACCTAAGGCTGGCTTCACTGGGTTTTTTGAGGCTCTGAAGGATCTGTGAGAAAACATAACATTAAGGATGAGAACAAAGGCAGATCTTCACAGATTGTGCTCTCTTCCTTCTCCTGAACTTTACTAGACAGGTAAGGATCTCTATACTTATTTTCACCTTAGAAATATCTGAGGAGCTTTATGAAAATTCCAAAGCCTGAGACCCACATAGGCCACTTAAGTTGGAATCCCTGGAAAAGGGCCCAGGATATGGGTACTAGTTTATATGGGTACTAGGTGCTTCCATTGTGCAGGCAGGGTTTGAGAACCAGTGCAGTGGGCTAATTGCCACATCTCAAGGTCAAGGGTAAGAGAAAGAATTGTGTAATACTAGGTCCAAAAGAAAAACTGGAATCTGGGTCAAGAGACAGCCAGATTCAGACTCCTCGTATCATCTCTGGCAGCAAGTGCTAGAATAGAATAATACAGGGAACATGCCTTACTTCTCCCAGGTTCAACTGTCCATTCATTTATGTTCCCCAAGTTGTTTCTAGACAGTAAAGATTACTCTATTCCCAATTTTTATTGTGACTTCTGTGTTTATGGTGTTAATGTTGTTAAGGCTTTGTTGGTTTGTTAGGGTGATTGGTTCATCACACACACACAAAAAAAGGCAGGAGATCATTCAAATTTCATCCTTCAGAAAGTAATCTGGAAATGTAAAGCCTATCAATTTTATCGCTATTTTATCTACTCTCTAAAATTTATTGGACCTGATTATTTTGTGAGTTAAAATAAAATATCAGTTTCAATTATACATCTTAAATATTACCAAAATAAATGTAACCAAAAAGTAAACTCATATAAGAGAAAATAAAATCATATATGATAAAAATCCTCTGTGCCTTTGCTTTATAGGACTAAAAATATTTTTTCAAAGTCAAATAATTATTTATATGTTTGCAGTATATTTCATATGAAGATGTAGTCATTTTTCCACTATTCTGAACTTGTCCCATCTGCCCTGATAAAAATACAAGCTATAGATTCAAGAATATCCATAGGAATGCTTTAACTCTAACAACAGACCAAAAAAAAATCATTCTTGAAATACATCTGATGGCATGATAGACTGGTAAGTCAAATCTCTCCAGAAGCAAAAATTAACTATGATTACTTGATGTAAGACATCACTCAAACCAATCAAATGTTATTTTGGGAAATCATAAATTTATATCCAGCGTCAGTTTGTCACTCATTACGTTCTTATAAGAATGATTAGGAAATTATCTTAATAAGTAAACGTTAGTCTTAATTTCTTCTTAGTTTGATGGCTTAAAAATATAAGTTTATATCAACCAACTGAGTCTTGCTAAAAGTCGCAGCCTGCTTGAAGAGTTAATTATTCTAGTATTAATAAATTTTATTCAAGGTTGATGAGGAAATTCTTGCATTGTTCCATTCTGTAACAAATCTAGCTACCACATGAAGGCAAATCTTTCAAAATATGGTTTGATAATTAAAATTAAGAAATATTTACTGGTTACCTATCAGGTCCCAGGGCATTGTGTGAAGTGCTAGAAATGTATGAAAATCTCATTATCTACAAGTGTCCCAATATACAAAAACTCCAGAGCAGCCTGAATTCTGTTGTTTTAGTGACTGACATGAATCACTATCTCCAGCAGTCAACTTAATAGCAGGCAAAGCTACTTAACAGGGAGTTACTTATCCTACAGCTGCACTTTGCTTGTCGCATCTTTGAAAGATGCTTACTTTGAAGATCTCCATGGTGTGGAAGAGAGGAAACAAGACATAACTTAAAAATTGACTTACAAATTGATGAAGAAAAAGGTTTTAGAGCCACAAGGAAATCGTTTTGTCAGTAACTCAGATAGATCACAGAGGAAGTAAACATAAGGGAAAAAAATACAAAAAAAAAAAGATTCCATGAAATTGATGATAAAGGAATCAATTTCTTCTCCAATAAACATATTTTAAGTACTACAGCAAGAATTGAAATGAAGAGTTTCCCTTTTCCCTCCTTTCCCAAAGGAAAAAGACCTACTCACAAAAGTCTCTCAAGAATCCTTAACGTGCCACAATGAATAGTATTAGTAATGTCTGTCTTTCAGGGAAAAGCATGCTCTCCTTAGATTTGCTTCCAAATTACACCCAATATAAATGTCAGCACTCCCTCCCATACTTATTGAAACTGAAGAAGAAAAAAGAATATCTGAGATATCATTGATCATTTATCAACTCCAAGAACTGATCTCTAAACTCATCTTTCTTTCTTTTTTCAGTCTTATTGACAAATAAGAAATGCACATATTTAAGGTGTACAAAAATGTTGTTTTCATGTACATATTTATTGTGAAGTGATTACATTTTGAAATGATTAATTAGGCTAATTAAATATCCATTGTCTCACATAGTTACCTTTTTTCTTCTTTTGTGTGTGTTGAGAACACTTAAGATCTACCCTTTTGGCAAGTTTCAACTATACAATACATTATTGTTAACTATAGTCACTAAGCTATATATTAGGTCTCCAGAACTTATTCATCTTATATCTAAAAGTTAGTACCCTTTAACCAAATCTTCCCATTTCTCCCACCCTCCAGCCCCTAGAGGCCACAATTCTGCTCTGTTCCTATGTGTTTCATTTTTTAGATTCCAAATATAAGTGAGATCTTGCAATATATGTCTTTCTGTGTCTGGCTTTTTTATTTAGACTAATGTTCTCCAGGTTCATCAATATTGTCACAAATAGCAGAATTTCCCCCTTTATTATATTCTAGTGTGTATGTGTGTGTGTGTGTGTGTGTGTGTGTGACTATGTGTATGCATGTGTGTGTGTATCCTAAATATCCTCTGACAGATGATGAATAGATAAAGAAAATGTAGGGATATATATATATATATATATATATATATATATATATATGCTTCATTTGAGATCTGAGAATATCCTAATTATAATATCTTGCCTTTAATAATTGGTTAATTATAGAATAGCTAGTACAAAATTCTACTAATTCAGTGTTAGAATTATAAACTTAATAATCACTAAAGCTAGGTTATTTTAAAATATGGCCCCAAATTCTTTGACATTCCTCATACCTGTCCTCCACTTGAATCTGGGAAAGTTGTGACTTGTATAGACTTCCCAGCTTAGGTCCAAAAAGGTCATGCCCCTTCCATCTCATTCTCTGGGGATGCTCACTGTGGGGTAAGCCAAACATTATGTAAAAAGTTTGACTATTCTGAGACCTCCATGGAGAAGAGGACATGTGTAGGTGCTCTAATCAGCAGTCCCAGCTAACTTCCTATCTGATGATCAGCATCAACTGCCAGCCATCTTGGATGTCCAGCCCAGTCAAGCCTTCAGATGGCCGGGCCCTGGCTGACATCTAACTATAACCACATGAGAAACCCCAAGTGAAAACTGTCCTGTCAAGCCCACCTTGAATTTCTAACTTAAAAAACTAAAAGTGAGAGAGCGAACCGAGATGGCAGTATAGGTAAACACCTGTACTTGCTGCCTCCCACATCCATATTAAAATTACAACTATCGTCCAGAACCATGGGAAAGCTGGCTGAGTGGAAGTACAACTAGAGAGGTAAAGAAGAAAGCGCATTGAGACTGGTAGGAGATGAGGAGGTTCGGAGGTGTGGAGGTGGGGAGGTGTGGAGGTGCGGAATGGGCTGGCACCCGGTGTGCCGCTTTTTTAATCGGGAGTGAGATAAAAGCTCCCACTTGCTCTGAGCTTCAGTGCTGGGCGGGACTTTGGGGGACCCAGACACATACAGGGAGAAACGTAACCTAGGGGTGGCTTTCTTCCAAATGGAGGTGCTCACAAAGGTCATTGTGCCTGAGCTGAGACCTCCTGGTGCAGAGCTGACTGGCAGCCATTGCTATTTGCTCCATCCTGGAGATTCCCTGAGACCCACCCCACCCAATTTACAACCCCACCCAAGCTGTGCGTGCTGCTTTTGCATATGAATGGCCAGTCCTTTCTAAGCCTAAAACCTGTCAAACTGCAGCTGGGTCAGGGAGCCCCAAAGCTATCAAAAGAGGGCAAAGGCCAGCACTGCAGCAACCTGCCTCGCTTCACAGCTGGGCCTCATCTGGGCACTTCCAAACCTGACACAAAGAGGAGAAATCTGCAGATTTCTCTGTGGTTCCTACTGGGTGGCCCCAGGCAGTGGCTGATTTTGCACCTCCTTGGAGATCCAAGAGCCAGTGTACCCAGTGGTCAGTGTGAGAACATACCAGATTACAACTCTTCATATCCATCAGTGACACACTCAAGGGCAGACTCAGTGAGCACCAAAGCCCCATTGAAGCAAGTCCTTCCCCATAAGGGTGTCTCCTGCACAGCAGCTCTTCCATTGTAGACACACCTAGTCGTCACAGCCAACTGTCCTGGAGGTCAATTCCTCCCAGTGATACAAACAGCAATCAAGGCTCAACTACAACAACACTGTGCACACAGCCCACAAAGGGGTGCACCAAGAATGTCCACCTCAGGTGATTGGGGAGGCTGAGCCACTGTGCCCTATAGGACACCTACTATACAAGGCCACTTTATCAACTCAAGGAGACTGAGCAGCTACCCAATACATAGAAACAAACACAGGAACACAGCCAAAATGTGGAGACAAAGAAGCATGTCACAAATGAAAGAAATGGAGGAAAGCAGACTACTAGATATAGAGTTCAAAACCACAGTTATAAGGTTACTCAAGAATCTTCTAGAAACCTCCAAGGAACTTAGTGAGATTTTCAAGGATCTTAGTGAGAATGCCAAAAAACTGGAAAGGGTCAGAAATTAAGCATACACTGACTGAAATAAAGAATAATATACAGAGATTCAACAGTAGTGTAGAGGATCCCAAGAATTAAGTCAAAGATTTGAAATACGAGAAAGCAAAGAACACCCAACTGGAAGAACAAAAAGAAAAAAGAATCCAAAAATATGAAGATAACGTAAGGAGCCTCTGGGACAACTTCAAGCATACCAACATCTGAATTATGGGGGTGCCAGAAGAAAGAGAGAGAGCAAGATATTGAAAATCTATTTGAAGAAATAATGACAGAAAACTTCCCCTAACTGGTGAAATAAGTAGACTTACAAGTCCAGGAAGCACAGAGAACCCCAAACAAGAGGAATCCAAAGAGGACCACGCCAAGACACATCATAATTAAAATGCCAAGGGCAAAAGACAAAGAGAGAATATTAAAAGCAGCAAGAGAAAAACAGTTAGTTACCTACAAGGGAGTACCCATATGACTGTCAGCTGATTTCCCAACAGAAACTATGCAGGCCAGAAGGATGTGGCAAGAAATATTCAAAGTGATAAATAGCAAGAACCTACAACCAAGATTACTCCACCCAGCAAAGCTATCATTTAGAACTGAAGGTCAGATAAAGAGCTTCACAGATAAGAAAAAGCTAAAGGAGTTCATCACCACCAAACCAGTATTATATGAAATGCTGGAGGGTATTCTTTAAGAAGAGGAAGAAGAAGAAAAAGGTAAAGATAAAAAATTGTGGAAAAAGAGTGACAACAAATACATATCTATCAACAAGTGAATCTAAAAATCAAATGAATAAAAAATCTGATGAACAGAATAAACTGGTGAATGTAATATAATTAGGGGCATGGAAATAGAGCGGACTGACAACTCTCGGGGGGAATGGGGTGTAGGGGTGCGGGAAGAGATGGGACAAAGATTTTATATGCATGTACGCAGTACCTATGGACACGGAGAGTGGGGTGGCAAGGGCCTGGTGTGGGGTGGGAACAGGGTGGAGGGAGCTATGGGGGGAAAAAAGAGGGACATCTGTAATAATTTGAACAATAAAGATTAAATTATTTTTAAAAAACTAAAAGTGAGATCAAATAGTTGTGTTACACTTCCAGGTTTGGAATAAATTTATTACAAAGCAATAGAAATTCATATGCCAGGAAATGTAAATTTTTTCTTTTCACATGCCACTTCACCTGTATTGTTATAACTCTACTTTCCATGTGGTAAGAAAATAACCCATCTAAAATGCAGTCAACGGTAAACAAACATTGGCTCTGATTTACATAACAAGATAGAAAAAATATTAAAACTAGGAGATGATGTTGACTTCAGTCTCCTGAAAATGCAGCCCATGGAGGTTGGGGCTCATCAGGAGCACTGAGTTAGAGCAGGGTTGGTCAAACTACAGGGCTGCAGACCAATCCAGCGCAGCACTTGTTTTGAATGAAATAAAATAAAGCCCACAAAGCCTGAAGTATTTATTCTCTTACCCTTCACCAAAAATGGTTACCAACTTCTGAGTTAGAGAATGGCAAAACTGAGACAGGCATAGAAGTCTTCTGATTCATATCCGGGTATTCTTTTCTCATGCGCTATCTGACAAGAATACAATTTTTCATTAACTTCAGCATATTTTAATGAACACATTCATTATTCTATGAATTTAATTTATATCAGTACTTCTTAAATTTTGTAAGGACATTTCTTTTTGGTTTTTGGGGGGCATTTTGTTTGCGGGGTTTTTGGTCTTTTTGTATTTCTTTGTGTCTTGCTTTCAAAAAGAGGGGTGTTAGTCACAGGTGGGTTATTTTCATGATTTAGTTTTCTGTGATACCATCAGTAAAGGAAAATAAATTGTTATCTTAGATTAGGAGTCAGCAAACTTTTTTCTAGGGCCAGAATATTGTTGATTTTGCAAAAGCCATACAAAGTGTATCACAAGCACTCAACTGTACTGTTTCACCTGAAAGCAGCCATAGACAAGACTTAAATAAATGGGCATGACTGTGTCCAATAGATTTTTTTTTTTACAAAGGAGAGACTGTCAAACAAGAGGCTCATGTAATGCCAATATTTGTCTGTATACTATATGTTTTCTCTGTACTCTTAAATAACACTTAATATCCAAATAAAATAATTGAGAATTGGTAGGGTCACTGAAGGAGGTATGCATGAGGCTGAAAGTGGTAAAGAATTATAAGTTTATTAGGTAATCTGGAGACCAGATGGTTTGAGCCCCAAAATGGTGCCAGCACCCAGGAATGGAGAGTCAGAGGTTTTAAAGGACTCTAGGCAGGCTTACTTGGTGAGGAACTCTCTGGACAGGACCAGATCCTGAGAAAGTCTGGAGGGGAAAGATAATGGTCTTATCAAGTAAAGTGTGATCTAATTGAAAGGGAATGTTGGTTGTGAAGTGGTCTAAAGGTCAGTTCCCAGGGGTTATTGCATAGACACAGCTATCAAATGCAGGAAGGTGGAGGGTATCACCTTTCCCTCTGCACAGTCTCCTCCAAGCATCATCTCATCCCCTCCAGGCTGCCTGCCCAGCATAGTGTATAAGAGCAATTTTAAAAAAAGAAAATGGCCTTTAATGTATTTAGCAGGATAACTTCTTGATAGGTTATAGTGTAATAGAACTTTTATTAAATAGTAAGCATCTCACTGTCATATTAACTTTAAGAAGTCTTTGCCAGAAAATAATTAATAATAATAATAATAATAATAATAATAGCATATAGGGATTTTTTTTCCAGGATGTGTATCCTTTACCAACACCAAAGGTAAGCCGCGTTTCTATAGCCTTCTGGGCATATGCAGAGTGAGCTGCCAGTTCTCCTTGACTCAGTGGCCATGGCCCAGGCAGCTAGTACATTCCATGCCCCAGCTCAGTAAGTGCTAGGGCTTTGACCCTCGCCTCCATCAGGCCCAGACCCCACCTTCCCCACCAGAGCCTGTTGATAGCAACAACCATCCTGCTCAGCCACTATGGCTGGTCCACAGCCAAGTTGGCTGAAACTTCCCAGCACCACACTCAACATGGCTGACAAGGACCTTTGTTTCCAGTACATACAATCATCAAAATAGCATTGCATAACCCCCCAGAGAAATGCAATTTTGTCTCCATGTCAAGTAGTTTGATGTGTGGTAATCAGAGGGAGACACAAATTTTAAACTTGAGCTTTATGTTGTGACTGACATTAATTTAAATACCCTGCATCAAAGAACTGGGCTGTTCTTCTAAACTGCTTTAAAACCCACCACAATTTTTCGTTGTTTCAGAAACCCACAGTACAATCTGTAATGCATTACAAATTCTGAACAGAGAATCTTATCTATATTTTCTTGTGCATTCCAAAATACTGATCGGAGACAGTGCCCACATTCCAAGACTAGTGCCACAAGTCTGCTTCAAGTTGAGGGAGAAAAGATTGGAAGTAACAGATGTTTGGGTTGCTTAGTCTTATTATATTCAAGACTTCATCAACAATGCAAAGTTTTCAATTAGAAATGTACTACAGTTCTATTGTTCCCTATGGAAATTTCTAACTAAAACCAGAGTCTAAGAATTCATTTTCAAACAGAAATTCTAACTGTAGTTTTGAGAACAATATATATATATATATATATCTTCTTAGAAGGGAAGAAAATTCAGTCTGATAAGCCCGCCTCCAGCCAGCACCACAGCGGGAGCAGGATTCAATGGGTGGTAAGTGTTCTCCTGCTGCTCTTGCAGACTTGGTGACTCCGTGGGGTGTGCTCCCCAGACTCCTGCTGTCCAAAAGGGAAGCCATAGGGGATACTCACAGCCTCACTACAGGGAGAATGTTTTGTGGGTCTGGTCCCACCACGCTTGGGCTAACTCCACATGAGATTCCCTCACTCGCTTCAAAGACACAAGAGCTTCTGAAGCCCCTCCAACAGGCACGCCTACATCAACTCTGCCAACCACACTGCTCAGCTCCTGCTAGGTTTTGTATGCCAGGAAAGAAGGTTATTAGTTCCCTCCTGGACTCAAAGGGAAGAATGAGCAGAGTCCGTTGTTTGCGCTCAAAATCTGCATTCCTAGAGGCTGTTGGTTCACATATTAGCCAACTTCAGAGGGATAGCAACACAGCTTACATTATACAGGATTTCAGAAGAGCTCAGATCCAGGGCTTTTTTTGGCTGAGGATAAAACAAATGAAAATGGTAAAGGAAAGCCAGTTTTATTTGAATGTAAACATATAGAAGGAAGTCAATATATTTTTGTCTTTGTGTTGTTATTATTCCTAAAAGTCTTTTAGCCTTTATCCTAACTCTTCCATGAAGCCACTCCTAATTAGTCTATATATACATAGTTATCTCTCTATTCTCTGGACTCTTAAAAATACATATAGTATCTGCTAACAAGTAAGCACTTTATTATATGGCACCTGTGTTAGTCTCTGTATTATATTTTTAATACTGACTTCCCAAATTGATTTTTTGAGTGTCTTAAGGGCAGACAGAATGTCTTACACCTACTCTCAGAACCTATAATGGGTATATTGGGAATGGGGGCATAAGCCTCATATTCAAAACAAGAATCAAATTTAAATTTTTTATGATATCTCCAAAATAAGGATTATACCTAGACTTCCATACCTGTACTGGCAAGAGTGTTAAAAAGAAACAGTTTACCTAACAATTTTTAATTCTTCCCAATTTCTATAATCCTTTCTTGGCATTACTTTATTTTTTACATTCCAAGAATCTCAAAAAAAATAAATAAGGAGTGTCTCAGTTTACCTCAGATTTTCTGTAGTGCCTGGCACCATGTTACAAGGACATGTTCAGAAAATGTTCCCCGAGGGTCAACAGACGTTCTGTAGATGGAAGAAAGAAGTGCAAAACTGGGATAGCACTTGGCCATAACCCAACCAGAAATCAGACAGGATAACTAAAATGGTCCCTTGGTTGACTGGCTGGAGCCCACCTCTAAAGTGATGTGTCCTCCCCTCTTCTGTGTGGAGTGAAACATTAGTATTGAAAGAAGGGGGATGCTTCTCCTTTTAATAATGAGGTATCCTTTGAGAACTTGGGGGTAAGGTGGCCCTTTTGCACTAGTAAAACCCAAAGTCAGTGGCTATGCCTAACCAGCTAGGAGAGAAAGCCACACAGCAAACTGTCATATACAATCCAAGGGATCTAAAAATCCCATAACTCCAATCAAGGTGGTCTCTAGAAGTAATCTCAGAGAGGCGGGACTAGATTGTAGTCTTTAAGATCTCATATACTCTTCAGAGGAAGATAGTGTAAAGCAGTTTGTGAATAGGAAAGGGAAACACAAGTTAGTCATGAGTTCACCATGTGAGTTCATTTTATGAAGAGAATCAGGGCAGCTGGTAATCCTCCGGTGACACCTCCAAACTGCCCTTATCTCCTAGGCACCTGTTTCTGCTGCCCTCTTGATTTTAGCTGATGTGGTGATCATTAGTTATGTTCACCAAATCTTTCTGGCTCTCTACCTTCTGGTACTATGTAGAATGGCATTCCCTTGTTCTTCTTTTCAGTTAGGGATGAACTTGTGACTTGTTCTGGTCAATGAATGAGAGTGATTTGAGAGCCAGTGAACAATTCACACATCTCTACTGTACGGCCTTTCCCTTCATGGATCATGAAAGCACAGATGGAGCCTCCCTCTGTCTGGGCCCTAAGTGAGAATGAGCAGAGCTCCTCAGATGACCAGTGGGGCTATATGCCATAAGCAAGAAATAAGCCTTTATTATTTTAAGTCTTTATTATTTACCCAACACTGCCACCAAACTGAAGTACCATTGGGGTTACTCTGTTATTTGGCAAGGGATTTCAGAAGATGCAGGATGAGAGAGGCCCATATTGTCACAGCAACCACTGGACTTATTAATCTTAAATATTATTTTTATACTTGCAAGTTGCCAAGAGAGTAAATCTTAAATGTTCTCACTACAAAAAAGAAATGGTCATTATATGACATGATTAGTTGTTAACTAATATCATGGTGGTAATCATTTTGCAATATATAAGTGCATCAAATCAATACATTGTATACCTTAAGCTTATACAGTGTTATACAATAAAGCTGGAAAACATGAAGTGAGTCTCTTAAGGAAAAAAAATATTTTTATAAAGACAAAAGTACACAGATGGGTGCAAAGTGTCATAAATAGTTAAGATAAAATAGGAAACATCAAAGAATTTTGGAAGCATAATTTTACAAAGTGAAACAAGGAATTAGAGCAGAAAAGGGACCTTTGAGAGCACCAGCCTCAGTGAACAGAAGAGGACACTGTGGTGCAGAGAATCCCCATGACCTATCCGATGTCCCCAGCTACCGACTGCAATCCAGGTTGGCTGGTTCCAGTGCCAGTACTCGTTCTGCCACACCTTGAGCTTGTAGGATAATGACTTTCCTGGTCTTCTCAACAACACAAGGGAAGAGAGAGAGATTCTCATGTAAGAAGGCATCTTGTCTTCAGTGTTCACTTGGAATGATTCCTCAGGTTTGTGCAGTGAGGTGCATTGACTTCACTATGTAACCTTCACTTATTCATAAAGAGAGTTATGTAATGTTCTGTTTCCCTCTTTCCCGAATCTCCACCTTACTTAGGAGGAAAGATAAAAAATGGACAACAAATGCCTCACCCCCACATGCCTCCAAAATTTTCCAGCTTTTGACCTTTATAATCTAAATAATTGTCTTCACTGTGAAGTCATTAAATATAATGACCTATTTAAAAAAAAATAAGCCTCAGAGAAGGTTCCCCAATGCTAAACAACCTCCTTTAATAGCTGTTTTTGGAATAAGGCAGTGTTTGAATAAATAGCCTTCTGCAGTCAGTTTAGTATCAGATCATTCTTAAAGCATTATCTTAGGTAAGGTTTGGAATGAATTTGTGACTTGTTCTGGCCAATGGAATGAAAGTGATATGAGAGCCAGGGAATAATTCACACATCTTTTATGTTTTCTTTTAAGTTGGAACTTTGGGTTTTTTTTTCACTCTTTTGTAATTTTAAGAATCCAAATTTTCAAGTGGAAAAAAATCAAAGATTAAAAAAGTAAAAAAAATAAAGAAAAATACTAAAAAACATAACTCACCATCACTCCCAGTCCTTCAGTGCTAATAATACATATTTAAGATAACTTGGTCTAAAATTCTAGAAGCAATTTTACTAAAATTCATTGTCTCTTTAAATCAGTCTCTATAAATCAAACCAAGACTTTATAAAAGTCAAGTTCTACCTCTTGTAAATGGGCCCATTTCTACTACAGATATTATTGAATAATTGACATTGTGAGTTGCTCAGAGCCATACCCTCCAAGGTCCATGAGCATTGACCTGGGTTCTTGTTCACCTGTTGTTGTTTTTAATGCAACACCCCTCACAAAAAAGGAATTCCTTACACTTTTGCACATGTCCCTGCTCAGTTTTAGAGTACAAAGCTTTAATAAATCAATGCTTGTTTCCTTCTCAGTAAAACAAAATTATCCTGTGATGCTCTTTAGATGAAACTGCTTGTTAAGACTGCTCTATAGACTGCCACATCCAGCTTCTAATATGGTCCTTAGCACAATAAGAGCTCATTTTTTCACAGACCTAAGATGGGTGCACTCTAACAAGAAGCTGAGTAACTTTGTTCCCAGCCATGGACTGGATTTACAGCTAAAATACTGTGCCATCAGCTTGAAAAAACAAGATGCTCCCTGTGATGTGCAAGACAGATGGCAGTTAGAATCAGTGAAATTTGAAGCAGTAGTAAGTTTTCCTTTTTCACATGGTTATTCTCTTATAGTACCCCCAAGTTTTATAAAGCACCACAGCCTAGTTCTGTTGTGTTTAGAGCATAAAAATTATCTGCCTGAGGGTTTCACTAAGGCAAGTATAGGTAATAGTGGGGAGAGAGCAGAGAGAGACTGGTAGAATGGTGAGATCCATGTGCAAGCCACACCCTGAATGAGGCAAAGCCTGAAAGAAGCCTCCTAGACTACCCCACAGCCTAAGGGAAGGTCCTTGAGGCCATGGGGAACTCCACTAGCCCAAGTTGGCTGTTAGGGGAGTTCAGGTATCTCCCAGGAATGAACTTGCCTTAGTATCTCTGCCTGTCTTGGTTACTGGCTGGGAAGTGTGGCCCTGATGCAAATATGGCAATCGATTACTGTGTGCATCAGGTAAGGAAACTTGCTCAATCACGGTCTCTGTACTTGGAGGTCTGCTAGGTCCATTCTCAACGCCAACTCACAAATATGACCATAACCATCTATTCGACCACTAAGAGTGCCTATGGAACAACAACGTTCAACCCTGCCATCCTTCAAATGTTTCCTTTTAGCCATTTGCAGTTGCTATTTTAATTATTGATAAACATATTGATAGTAATAGTTGCCAACCAAGAACTGAAGAAAAAGAAAGTCAAATCTTCTAGGATCATCAGAGCAGTAGAAGGAAACGAATAGACCAGAGAGTGCCCAACTCAAGAAACACCTTCTCCAATACGGTAGCTTCACCTGGCACTGGCCCAGGCTCTGCTGCTCAGAACTGTAGAACTGTAGCTCAGGGAACCTCAGCAGGTCACCAAGCTCTGTCATACAATGACTTCCAGCTCCCTTTGCAAACTTGAAAGTGCTCCATCAGAGACCCATCATTACCTACTATAGAACTTCTAAGAGAAAATTGAATCAAATAAATTATTAGCAATTTCATAATAAACTTCAACTCATCTCCCATACATTTTCCTCAAACTGCCAGAGTAACTTATATATTAAACATTTAGATAGTATCATTCTTCCTTGTCAAGTCCCCCTGTGAGAGATTTAATACAGAAGAGTCCATTATATTTCAGAAGAGTTTAAGTTAAGAAAGGCCTCAAAAGAGACTGTGAGCAGAAGACTTACCAAAGTCCTGCCAGCTCTGTGATTTTATGATTGTAGATGAGCAACTTGATAGCATATTGAGAAACTTTCCCCCAACTAGAAAAGGAAGTCAGTGGAAAAGCCAGCCTTAGGGAATGCCTCCTTTCTTGGGCTAGCTCCTAAAACATGGAGTATATTTTTGAACAATTGATACGCATGTTGTCCCTTTATTCATAACTTCTTTTGGAAGAAGTGGTCATTAGAGGACAGTACATGTTTGCATTTGTAAATATTCCAAAAAAAACAGCATACAGAAGGACACGTGAGCCTTAAAAGATAACCACGAGATTTTTGGTCTTGGTCCTGCACAGAATTTCAAGCATGGCAAGCAGTTATGTTTCCAGTAACAATGTGGGCCAAAGTTCATGTCTCCCTTGTATTTTACACAGTGTTATCATACTTGTTAGCCCAAAGCAGAAGAAATTTTGACAATGATTTCAGACAAAGTTACAGTCAAGTTGGCCTAAAACATTGGGGACATCAAAAATGTGTTCTTCACTCAAATCCATATGATTTTTGGTTGCTTGACATCAAAACTACTATACACATTCTTTCCATCTTCTTCTGTTTGCCCAACGTAGAATATAGAAGTGTTATTAACTTCATAGAGTGCATGTGGACACACACACACACACACACACACACACACAGCTCATGAATACACAAAAAAGCTCAGCTTGTCAACAGCTTTGGCAAAGTAAAATACGAATGATAATTAGAAACATGTGTCCCCAGCAAAGAGGCACAGAAATGAAAAGGTCATCTTTTTCCAAATGACCTAATTAGAAAAGCCTGGAGTGCTGGCTACAGTATAATGGTTTTACACAGCTTTTAACTCAGACTTCCTGTTTTAAAACAGTGCAATTTATTGCTCCTGTAGCAAATATGAGTTGTCACTTAATGCCAACAGAATTAGGCCTCACAACACCACCTGCCTCCAGCAATCTCCTCATGGTTAGACCCATCAGCTGAGGATAGCTGATTTACCATCCCAGACTGACCATTTAGAACCTAATGCCAGGATCGCTGCCAAGTTGAGAACAAGGATTTCATGTCGAAGAGAGCCCATAAGGTACTTTACATTAATGCCAATTGAAATATGCATGAATAGACCAAAGGGAAAAGCACTTGCTCTGAATCAGACTATCAGCGAATGCTTCTTAGATTCTTTTTTCTGGTCCCAGAGCTAAG